AGTTATCGCCCTTCTCGGTCTATTCCCTGAGGACTTTAAAAGAGCATACTATAGGGATACTGCCACATCAATGATCATGGCAGCACAATTCACAATAGCTAGACTTTGGAATCAACCCAGATGCCCTTCAATAGATGAATGGATTAAAAAACTGTGGCATTTATACACAATGGAGTATTACGCAGCACTAAAAAATGACAAAATCATGGATTTTGCAGGGAAATGGATGGCATTAGAGCAGATTATGCTAAGTGAAGCTAGCCAATCCTTGAAAAACAAATGCCAAATGTCTTCTTTGATATAAAGAGAGCAACTAAGATCAGAACAGGGAAGAAGAGCATGAGGAAAAGATTAACATTAAACAGAGACGAGTGGGGGGAGCGAAAGGGAGAGAGAAGGGAAACTATGGAAATGGAAGGAGACCCTCATTGTTACACAAAATTACATATAAGAGTTTGTGAGGGGAAAGGGGAAAAAAAAACAAGGGAGAGAATTAAACAACAGCAGATGGGGTAGAGTGGGAAGATGAGAGGGAAGGGGAGGGGGGATAGTAGGGGATAGGAAAGGTAGCAGAATACAACAGTCATTAATATGGTATTATGTAAAAATGTGGATGTGTAACCGATGTGATTCTGCAACTTGTATTTGGGGTTAAAAAATGGGAGTTCATAACCCACTTGAATCAAATGTATGGAAGATGATATGTCATGAGCTTTGTAATGTTTTGAACAACCAATTAAAAAAAGAAAAGAAAAGAAATGATCTAGATATTTAATATCTATTATCTGATTTAATTTTGTGCAACTCTAAAGTCTCACAGTCCCAAACATTTTGGAAACTGCTTTCAGGCAGACATTATAACATCAATCAAGGACAGCCATCATCTCCCTGTTAACTATTTTCAAAGTATATGCATTGTCAGGCAAGCATCAAAAAGCAAAACCTAAAAAAGTGAACCATAGGGCTTGGGTTGTAGCTCAGTAGTACAGTGCATGCCTAGTACATGTGAGGCCCTGGGTTGGATCTGCAGCACCACATAAACAATAAATAAACAAATAAAATAAAGTTATTTTTAAAAAGCTAACACATCTTCTTTGTTTAACTGTTCTGCTTGATGTACATGGAATGGTTGACACTGAACTTTTACTTGTACACTTGTTCTAAGATTGAATTTATAATTTAAAATATGTAGTAGAGATAACATACTAGTAAACCCAGGTAGAATAAAAATGTATTTTCCTTATATGGAAGCTAGAAACAAAAAAATGTATAAAAGATAGGATCTAATAAAATTAGAAGGAAGACCAGAAGAGTAGTGGAAGGGGGGGAGGGGCCAGGGAGAGGGAAGAAATGAGGGAAAGGGGAGGTACTAGGGAATGAAATTAACAGATTATGTTATGTGCCTGTATGACTATATCATAATGAATCTCACTATTATGTAAAATTATAATGCACCAATAAAATTTAAAAATTATAGTCATTCAAAAATATAATGTATGCTCCTTTCCTATTTAATGTTAACAAGTTATAAGATATTCCCATTTTTATTAAACCAACAATATTAAACCAATCTTACCAAAGATTAACCAAGTCATGTGAAATTGAAAAAAAAAATTTGAATTAGTTCTGATTTCTGACAAATTCAGTAATATTTAATCTTTATAGGTCTCATATATCTGTATATCAATTTGAATAGACCTCCTTTAAGAGATTTTATAAATTAATTTGATATCATCCAAAAGTAGAATAACATAAAATACATTACACTTCCCCAAACACACACATATAGATTTACAGAAGAAAACAGAACTTGTAGCTTTAACTTTAGAATTTTGGTTATGAGTCAGGAGATAGTATATAATTTTATATTTTATATTGTGTTTCTGACCAAAATGGGACAAGTTGAGCACCCTATTCCATAAGGGCTAAAAATTTTTACCAATTATTTTTTTGGCAAAGACTGCCAAATTTTTCCTTTGCCCTGATATGTAATCTTATGAAAGTTTTTTTTATTTAATTTTAGACAAGAGACTGAAGGTACATCAAACAGATGACTGGGTATCTCCAAAATCCACTTGAGGCAACAAAATAGTCAATTTGTTTCCAATTAGCTTTTCTTTTCAGCCCCAGAGAGTTGCTTTCAGGAGTTTCTGCGTCACTTTAGAGCCCCTAATGGTAGCAAAGGACTAAAGTTGAAGTCAGTGCCTGAGGGAGTTGAGGAAATGGAGTGGGAAGAGAAAAGTATGGCAGGGGTAGTGGTCAGAAGGTTGAAAGAAACAGGACTTAAAAGGTGACATATGAAAGTATTGAAGGGATCTAAAAGAAATATATATATTTTCTTTTTTTCAGTCCTAGGTATCAGACCCAGGGCCTCGTGCATACTATGCAAGCTCTCTACCACTGAGCCACATCCCCAGTCTTCAAGGGAATTAAAGATTGGAGGTGATAAAACAAAGAATGAAGAGCATAGGTGATAGGAACAGAAAGGCTTTCAGGAGCTAGTTTAGGGAGATCTCAAGTTTTACAAGGAGGCTACTAAAATTACAAATAATCCTGAGCAAAATCTAGCAGGATATACAGTCATCAGGGGTTTTGAGAAGTGGGCTTTTAGACTATTGAGAAGTTTCAATGGGAGAAGCAGAATCAAACACAAAAGAGAGGTCTCACAAATCTCTGGGAATAAATTTCCAGCCTAGGGAGTCAGGAAGTAATTCCCACTTGAGGAATAAAAATTCCCACTTGAGCAGGAAGAATTTTCTATCCCAGAGCCAATTCCAGGAGTCAGGGAATAAATGTAACCCCCAATCCAGACAAAAAAGCCAGGAAGAAAGACTTCTGGTCCATCAAGTACTGCTATAGTTTGTTCCCATCAAAATTAATGTTGAAATTTGACCCCCATTGTGAGGTATTAGAAGGTTACAAACTTCATCTAACTATGGTATTTGGAGATGGGGCCACTGGGAGGTAATTAAGGTTAAATGAGGAGATAAGGGTGGGGACTCCAAAGAGACTGATTTTATAATAAAAGGAGGAGAGACCTGAAGTAGTAGGCTGAGTTTTATCATGTGATGCTCTGTGTTGCTTTGGGGCTCCACAGAGAGTCCCTACCAGCAGGAAGGACCTAATCTTATGCAGATACCCAATCTTGAACTTCTCAGTCTTCAGAACCATGGGCCAAATAAACCTTTATTCTTTATAAATTACTCATTCTGTGGTACTCAGCTGTAGCAATAGAAAATAGGCCAAATTAGGTATCTTTCAAAAGAAACCCAGGACTCCAACTCAACTTTAAAGTGCGCATTCCAAATCATAAGATCCAAAATCTATCCACACCATGCTTTAACAGATCATTTTCCAGAACACTGGTTCAGAAATCAGACTTACCAAAGGATCCTTGATCAGTTAGGCAGAAGTGAAGACAAAGGTTTCAAGGGTGTACATTTGGGATTCTGGGTGAGGGGTTCAGAAGTCCAACGATGAATCTGATCATATTAAGTCACTGTTACTATAACTGCCCAAAAAACGTTATTCATAACATTTGTTAAAATCTAGGAAATTCTGTTCAATAGGGGGCTATCACAATAGGTACAGGGACCAGTGCAGTGGAGATTTACAATGGAGGAACTGGGCTTAACTTCAATATGATAAATGACATTTTATAGCTAAGAAGTAGGGTGGGGATTAGTGGATGGAAATTTAGTAAGAAGAAACAACAAGGGTTCGGGGGAATTCTTGCTAGACTGAACCAATAGGATTTTTGCTTAAGGCAGGCCAGGGTAATTAAATATCTAGTATGGGGCATGTGAAATTTGGACAGATATTCAGTATGGTCAGGAGCCAGGAGTATCACTAAGGGTGGGGGTTTTCACTAAGTTGACTTATTAGGATTCTTGTTCAAACTGGATTCTGCAAGCACAGCAAGGAAGCCTAAGAGGGCTGAGAGGAAACTGATTAAAGTTTGGTCAAAGGAGGGAGTCTGAGTTTCTTTTTCCTCTTGGCATTTACCATCTAAAGTACACAAGTAATGTATTACAAATGACTCCAAGTGTTGCCAGGGAGAACAGAATATACCATGAAAATACAGGGAGGACTATTTGCTTTGGGGGATGGGAAATGGATACCACAAACCAATAAAGACTGAGCTGAAATCTGAAGGGGCCCTCCAGGCTGTAGGAAGAATCTGGAAAAGGGTACTTGTACCATCAATGCTCTCAAAATTGAAAGGCTATAATAGAAAAGTGGAGGTAGGGTGGAGAGAAGTTTTGGGAAGAAAGCTTCAAATAGCTGTCTGAACACACACTGAACAGATGATACAGCTCCTTTCAGCTTCATACTAGAGATAATGGGCAGCCTTTGAAAGGTTTGAAAGACATGACAATATCTGATGGGAGCTTTAAGAAGATCACTGTGGCCAGATGGTGGATAAGATATTGGGTGGTGGCAGAAGAGATAAAATGAGAATTTCTTGAAATATTTAGGCCAGCGTCATAGGGCTGGATTGGAGAGTGAGCAATCTGAAGGGACCAAGAACCACACTCAGGTACCATGTGGTCAAAGAGGCTGATGTTGGGGCCATTCTCTGAAACAGAGTGGGAGAGGAAGAACAGGAAAAAGAGGAGAGTTATCACCTTCTGGCCGATGCCTCCCATCTTTCCAAAGTAGTGGTTTTCAAATTTTGACAGTAACAAATACATTTTACATAGTTTCTCTGTAGACGAAGTGTGGTGAAGTTCCATATTTCCTATCTTATTACGTTTAAAAAAAAAAGATGGCCGCCTGCTTGCGCCGGTAGCTGGTGACCTTGGCAGTGACATAGGCTGTGACGGAGGAAGGTGGCATTGTGAAGAGGCTTGTGGTATCCTTTGTGATGCCTGGGCCATGGTGCTGACCGTTAGGGTGTTGGGAGATGCTGGCCAGACAGTTCGGGCTGCTGTTTCAGCCCGAGCGCAGCGGGCGGCTGCTCTGCTGCCCCAACCTTCCGCAGCTTTTGCTCGCCAAGCATGGCAGCCTCCACCACCTCCCACCGCCCGATCAAGGGGATCCTGAAAAACAAAGTTTCCACCAGTTCCTCCGTAGCATCTCCTGCCCAGCCATCAGAAGGTGCTACCCAGGAGGTGCAGCGAAAGAAATCTCAGAGGTGGGATGAATCCAACATTCTGGAGACACGCCGTTCATCATACAGAGACTATGATTTAATGAAGATAAACGAGCCTGGCACTCTCTGCGTTAGTGTACAAGATGATGGGGAAGATCCCAGTGAAGTCGAAGCAAAAGAAGACATGACTCCAGACATCTTAGCTAAGAAACTAGCAGCCACTAACGCATTTGGGCCCGATTGCCAGGAAGAAGAGCAAGACAGCAGTGAAGCACACACCAGCAAATACCTTCTCGATAAACAAGAGAAACAGAGACAGTTTGAGATGAAAAGGAAGCTCCATTACAACGAAGGACTGAACATCAAGTTAGCTAGACAATTAATTTCAGAAGACCTACAAGCTGAAGCGGAAGAAGATAAAAATCAAGAAAGTCTACATTTTACAAATGAAGAAAAGTCTACTACAGAAGAAGCTCACACAATGGAAGAACTACACACCCAGTCTACCAACGCCTAGAAGACCTTTGCTGCTGTGAATTACTATCAAATGCTTCTTCTCTTTCATAATTCATGCTTTAACTGATGATTTGCCTATCAGTTAAATTGTACTACCAGAAATTAAATGGTAATCTTAAAAAATAATAATTTGGTGGAAAATGGCTATCTGTTCTTGCGCCTAATTCTTTGCTACAAATGTAGATCTTGACATTAGTCCAAAACCACATCACTTTTATAAATCTACTGGTTAATGTGTATATAGTTTTTTAGTGTGTTGAAGGCTTAAATGGAGACAAATTTATATTCACTTCTAGATGTACTAGAAGATTTTGTTAAATACAATTGATACGGAAGGTTGTCTGGGTTGGTATTTAGGCTGAAAACAACTTGTCTTCAGGATGATTTTCCTGTTTAAATGAGAGAGAATACATTATAAGATTTATTGTTGAATTTCCTTAGCTTAGTACCTTTAAAATTTCTCAATTTTAATTCAAGATTTACAAGGAAATGACAATTTTTAAAAAAAAAAAATCAAAAGTAGCCATTTTTATGAGGAGATGTCAGGTTATAATTGGAACAATACCCTGGTTTTTTTAGACACTAGGTGGACAAATTTGGTGTGATTTTTAAAATTATAATATTATCTCAATGTTCCCTTCTCATATATGTCCTAAACTTTATCTTTTGTTTCGTCAGTCCTGTTGAGCCAGTACATACCCAATCCTTTATGATGTATCATAGATTGTCATGGCATTAGGAAATCTCCTTTCCCTCAAATATTTTCTTTTATTGCAGCAGTATCATTTCTATTTTGACCATCAAGGTCTATTCAGTTTCCCAGTGTGTGGAGAAAATAGATTGAATATCAGAGGGCTATATACAAGAAAGAAAATTCAGCTACTAAGGTAAAACATTTTGGTTTACAACTTGCTATTGTTAGCTTATTGTTTGATACAATTAGTTTTTAGACATCAAATGAGTTTCTCCATTTTTCATGAAAGAAAGAGAAAATCAGTAATATAGTTCCTGAATATATACAGAAGAAAGCCCCAAAAGTTTGTGTGTTTCCTTTTTTAAATTGAGAACTAAATTGTATATGAATGGTATATAAATTGTAGATTCATATACAGTTATATGAAATAATACAGTGTATTTGCTAACAAGTGAGCACATATTAAGCATAGCCACATGTCAGGGGCAATTGCCTGGGCTAGGGAGAGAAAGACGAATGCCACAAAAGAGATTCAAGAATTGAAGGAGATGCCTGAAATGTTATTTATGAAGGCCTCTTGAGGAAGAAGATACCTGTATTCAAAGAGGGGCAAGATTTTTGTTTGGGGTTGTATATCTATTTGAACAACAAAGGTGCATTCCAGATGGCTGCAGAACAAGCACCAGTTTGAGAAGAGGACTGCTGTGTTCCAAGTTCCTTCTTTCTAAAGGTGAGGACAGAAGGAACCCAACCCCAGTGACCTGTTCCTGCTCAGCATAAGAGGAGATTTGGCTAGAATTGGGGATGGGATACAGAAGAGGGGCAAACCATAAAAGACTACATACATGAGGAGGTGATGGGGCCATTAGAGGAAATAACACATGGGCCTATATTGAGGGGTGGTCAACTTGGAGAATCCTTTTCCACAAGATGATGCTCACACCATTATTTCCCCAGCACAACAACACACTTCAGCGATTAGGGAGAAATCTACACAAGGAGAAAGAAAGAGGGATGGAGCCTTCAAAACGCATATTTGGGGAGGAGCACATCAAATAACTTCATATAAAAAACTTGATGAAGGGCTGGGATTGTGGCTCAGTGGTACAGCACTTGCCTAGCACATATGAGGCACTGGGTTTGATCTCAGCACCACATAAAAAACATCAATATTATAAAGGCATTGTGTCCATCTATAACTAAAAATATTTTTTAAAAGAACCTTGATGAAATTAGCACTACCATTTCATAATCAGAAAATTCAGTACATAAGCAACAGGATGCAACATTCCAAAATACACATTTAAGGAGAAGCAGAATAGACCAAGCTCTTGACCACCAGCTATGCTTGTGGGGCTTCAGCAGCCAAACCTGCATGTGCAGATGACTGTGGAGGATTTATGGATGCAGACTGTAAAAGGTCTGGGGAAAACTGAAAATTGTTGGTGTGTATCTCTGTGTGTCAACATGTGGGCATGGGGGAAAGCTGCCTCAGGTGTTCTTCCCCACCAGTATAAACACAGTTCTCTAATACAAGGTTATCCATTATTAGCTCTTAAGAAATATAAAGAATTGTTTTTATCATTGTGTAGGCAGAGCATTTTTGCATCACTGAACCTGCCTATGCATGCTGGGTACTAAATAGCTTATTCTTCCAAGGAGCCTTCTTTTTCTTCATCTTTTTCCCCCCAGTTTTAAAGCAGACTCTTTGAAAGGTGCATATGAACCCGGTTTCCATAGCAATTGCAAGCATCAGTAATAACCCACAGCTTCTAAGTTATAATACACAGGCTACTCTATTAATGAGTTTCAAACTGCATTTCCATGAGACAACGGCTCAGCCATTGATAGATAAGGTCAGACCCCATCTTCAAACTTTAAATTAAATCAGAATAGATCAAAATGAATGGAGGGAGGAGGTGTCCTTTTGGGAAAGTGTGCTGTTAAAAAATATGTTCTTTGTGGAGGCAAAACAGTTGCTTTTGTGGTTTGTAATGCCCAGATGGAAAAATTTTAAAACAGATACAGCTTCTTCTGGGTTATTAATGGCATGTTGTCATTTTCTTATGCTATTTGTGAGTGAATTTTTCCAACAGTAGCTCAGATTCTTAAGAAAGCACACAATATTTTGCCCCAGGAAGAGCAGGTGTGGTTGTTAATTCTTGCCAGGCAGGTCTGGAATAACACAAGTTCAATGATAATTTATGAAATTATTTATTCATGCACTGAAAACCAAGACTCTGTGCTTGTTTTTAAAAAGTTCCCAGTTTACTGGAGGGCTCAGCCATGCCACCAAGGCCATTTGTACCCTGTGCAAGAATGCATGGCCTGGATCCTTGAGGGACATTGCCTAAAGTATCGAAAGGCCTTCCCATGGAGTTGAATTTGAGGAGAAATAGAATTGGCATTCCAGATGTAGGTAACAGACATTGTAGCTCTTTTGGGGTAATACAAGCTATCCTATAAGAGGTATAGTATAGAACTGAAGAGTTAAGAAGGGCTGTGAAAGGACCCATACACTGTACAAAGGCAAAGGGAGCCACTAACATTTTTAAGCAGCAGTGATTGAGCACATTTAGGTTTTTGAGACACCACTATGGCTGAGGGTACAGCCTTGAATGAAACAGGGTGGGGAGGACAAAGCTGGAGACAGGAGAACAAATATGTGACATGAATTTCAGGAAGCTTCTGACAGTAATGTTAAAGTGCTGAACCTCTTATCTTGTATTCATGGCCAAGTCACAACCTGTCCTACACCAGTGTCAAGCACAGAGTTGTTTCCAGAGTAGCTATATCAACATCACCCAAAAGCTGGTTAAAACACCAAATACTTGGGCTACATCCCAGATGTACTGACTCAGTCTCTCTAGGGCTGGGGCCCAACCATGTAGATTTTCATAAGCTCCCCAGGGTACTTTTCTGGATTTTCAGGTTGGAGAACCACTGCTCTACAATACAAACTTTGAATTATCTGAGTTCATTTTTTTAGGACAGATTTTACTGTTCGTGTGTGTGTGTATATGCATGCTTGCATAATATGTACACAATTTTGCAAACTACGTCACATTGAATTTGAGGACTGCACACAGGTTTGCTAGGAATATTTCACAACTATGCTGCCAGACTAAGACCAGGGCTGTATTCAGTCTTTCCCCAAAATTAGTACAACCACTATGGAAATCAGTATGGTGGTTCCTTAAAGGGCTAGACATGGAAACACTAATTCAGCTATTCTACACTTCAATATTTATCCTAAAGAATTAAAATCATCATACTACAGTGATACATACCCATGTTTATAGCAGCACAATTCACAATAGCCAAACTATGGAACCAGTCTAGGTGCTCATCAACTGATGAAAGGACAAAGAAAATGTGATATATATATATATATATATATATATATATATATATATATATATATATATATATATATATCTCCATTATGTCATTTGCAAGAAAATGGATAGAACTAGAGATCATTATATTAGATAGCCAAATAAGTCAAACTCAAGATTAAGAATTGTATGTTTTCTCTCATAGGCAGAAGCTAGAGAGGAAAAGGAAAAAGAAAGATGGGGGCAGATCTCATGAAAATCAAAGGGAGATCTGAGGAAGGACAAAGGGGTAGAAGATGGGGAGGGAGGGAGAAAATACTGGAGAGGGATATTGGTCAAATTATATTGTTATATTGTGTGGCATGTACAAATATGCAACAACTAATCCCTTCAGTATGTACAACTAGAAGACACTAATAAAAATATGGAAAAAATATTTCCCCAGGCTTCCCCATGAAACAATTTCTCTAGTCCCTCCTCCTCATCCTCTAGTATGTTGTGCTGTCCTCACACTGGTCTAGTGAACATTCCTAATGCCACCACGGAACTCACAGGACTTTACATCTCCAGATTTGCTGGGCTATTTCCCCCCCCCAACACATATTTTCCTGTTTTTATTGTGTGTCTCACTCAATCCTCCACATTAGTGAAAATCCCACCTCAAACTCCTAAGTCAGAGTGACTTAGAGGAGGCAGAAGATTCTAGTAATTAGCATTACATTATTTAGAGTCAAAGAGATCTGCGTTTGAATCCAGTCTGCAATATGTCAGCTGAATCATCTGAGATAAAATACTTCACCTGTTTGAGCAAGTTTGCTCACAGTGAAATGAGGATAACAATAACATACCTTCCATGTACATTTTATTGGAATGACTAAATGAAAATATGTTGGTGAAACACAATGGCTTCTAGTAAATATTCAGTAAATGGTAGCTGTTATTCTTCTCATCTGCACATATTTTCTCTAC